TTATCATTCCTCTATTGGTATTTTGGTTTCTATGGACTGAGAGGAATGATGCGAAGCATAGAGGTATTCGTATGGTGGCCAGACGTATTATTTGGAGGGTCTACCGCATGATCTCCTTCCTTCATATGGGAGGACTATTTCGAGTTGAGCATTGGCGAGGAGATGTGTCACTTGCATCCTTTTTTGGAATTTCTTTGACCCGTCCTCTCCCACCACCACCTATTATGGTTGTTTGGCGCACTCCACCTATTGGATCCTACAAGATCAATACCGATGGATGCGTCAAAGATGGATTTGTAAGTGGTGGAGGCATCATTAGGGACCACGCAAGATACTGTATCAGGGCATTCTCAGCATCGTATGGCCCATGTTTCATTTTGGAGGCTGAGCTCAGAGCCATACTAGATGGGCTTCTATTGGCCAGAGGACTTGGGATATCAGCTATTTGGATTGAGGTAGATTCAATGCTGGCCATTCACTGCATCATCAAAGGTGGAGGACCATGGACGATTCAGGGTATTCTAAGACAGATCAGAGACGTCATTCGCCTTGACAGAGACACAGTTTCTCATATCTACAGAGAAGGTAACCAGGTTGCAGATTCTCTTGCTTCAGAGGGTTGGGATCACCAGCATTACCAAGAATATGGACCACTTGACCTGCCCCGACAAATTAGGGCATTGGTGCAGATCGACAGATATGGATTGCCCAGCTTTAAACCCTAACCCCTAAACCCTAAACCCTAACCCCTAAACCCTAACCCCTAAACCCTAAACCCTAACCCCTAAACCCTAACCCCTAAACCCTAAACCCTAACCCCTAAACCCTAACCCCTAAACCCTAAACCCTAACCCCTAAACCCTAACCCCTAAACCCTAAACCCAAAACCGCAATGCACTGAAGAACCCTAGTACTTCTCTCGCTCGCTCGCTCGATCGATCGACGCTATTGCATCGCCGGGAATCAAAAGATGGCGTCCAGTGGACAAACGGTGTTGCAGTTTTCATCACCACCGACAAATGTATCGGCTAGGGTCCATCCGCTGGTAATCTTCAACATCTGCGATTTCTATGTCCGGCGACCCGACCAAGCCGAGAAGGTCATTGGCACTCTCCTCGGATCTGTTTTACCCGATGGTACCATTGATATTCGCAACTCTTACGTCGTTCCACACAACGAGTCGTCAGATCAGGTTGCACTGGATATAGATTATCATCACAATATGTTGTTATCCCACCAGAAAGTGAATCCAAAGGAAATCATTGTTGGATGGTTCTCAACTGGTTTTGAAGTCACTGGTGGTAGTGCTTTGATACATGAATTTTATGCTAGAGAAGTTTCAAATCCGGTTCATTTGATTGTTGATACTGGATTCAAAAATGGCGAGGCTGCAATTAAGGGATTTGTCTCTATTAATTTATCCCTTGGAGATCAGCAACTTGCTGCACAATTTCAAGAAATTCCTTTGGACCTACGCATGGTTGAGGCTGAACAAATTGGTTTTGATGTTCTTAAGCCAACAACAGTGGACAAGATTCCCAATGATCTGGAAGGAATGGAAGCTTCAATGGAACGGTTGCTTGCTCTATTAGATGAGGTTTACAAATATGTTGATGATGTTGTGGAAGGGCGGGTTGCTCCAGATAATGAAATTGGCCAATTTATATCAGATACTGTAGCATCAATTCCGAAATTATCACCACATACATTTGATAAGCTAGTTAATGATAATCTGCAGGACCAACTACTGTTACTTTATTTGTCAAGTATTACAAGAACACAACTCAGTTTAGCAGAAAAGTTGAACACGGCTGCTCAGATCCTGTGATAGATTTTACCATTTGCTCGTCTGAAAATCGTGTCGATTTGGTTCTTCCCATCAATTAAATAGGTTGAGTTATACGAGAAGAGGGAAAAAGCTTTGGCTAACGCACAATTCATTTCAAGTTTTGAGCAATTTTGTCTCCAAAAAATTTATGGTGTTTGCATTGTTATTTGAGCTAAATGTGATAGGATCTATATTATTTCTTGGAAATGTTTATGATGTAGTAGTGAGATTCACCTGTTTAATGTTTCAGCCTTGGAGTCCTCAACCTCCTCTATTTGTTTTCTCGCTCTTCATTATATAAAATAAACCACACTAGTGGTATTTGCTTAAAAAAAAAAAAAACCCTAAACCCTAAACCCAAAACCTTTTTTCTCTCTCTACCTCCAAAACGCTCTCCCTTCTCTCTAGAATGGGAGAAAACCTCCAAAACTCCAACAAACTTGATCCACCACCAAAACCACCGGATTTTAGCACTCTAAGTGGTGGAAAATCATCACCAACAACCACCCAAACATCTCCTATAACACCAATATCAGATTCATCCCCCAACTCAATATATCTGAGTTTGAAAAATCATGGCACGAATCCCAAGGTCGTCGAAACACCCCCCTACACATTGAATTAGGGTCTGGGACCATCACCAATGATTCCAGAAGGGCCGAAAACCCTGGGGGTGGTAGAGATTTCATCCGAATCGCCCGAAATTGACAGATCGGATCCCGAGGGGCCAAAAACTGATTTTTCAATTAACCCTTCCACAGAGCTCAAACAGGGACACGCACCTGACCATAAGATTACCCATGAAAAGGCGAACTTTGACTAAAAAATCATCCAATTCCGACTCCGGACGCGCCCTCACCGGCGATCGCAATTTCCGGCCAGTCGCTCGGAAAATCGCAGATTCCGGCCAATCCTGAACTCGTTTCGGAAAACAGAACATACCGTGATGATCAGCATGAAATTATGCATCTCCCTATGAAAATTCATAAATTTCTGACACCGTTGGAAAATCACCGCCGGTCAACGGCCGGCGCGTGGTGGTCACGCGCCGGTGACACTTCACCAGAATGTGGAGAATTTTGTTACGGACCCAATTCCATCATCGGTTTTTCCACATGAGGCCCAGACAGTGCTCAATCAGGGCCGAAAGACCTATGCTACTGCAGTTTCTGGCCGTCCGGGCCTGTCTCAAGCTGAACGGAATTCACGAAAGTCGTTTGCATCGGTTATACAGGGTATAGATGACTCTTCCACTGTTGGGTTTGCTGCTAAAGAACCCTTTATACATATGGGTGAGCCGGAAATAGTTTTGACTGTGTCCGAGGAGGCTACACTCGCTGATCCTTACAAGTATACACTTGTGGGGAAATTTCCACATCGCAAGCCGACCATGAGGAAGGTACGTGAGATTTTTTCTAAGTTTGGGTTCCATGGTTGTTTCGAGGTGGGATTGATTGACACAACACACATTCTTATACACCTTACACATGAGGAGGATTACAGCAGGCTTTTTCTTAAACCTTCATGGTATATTGATGGTTGTTCGATGAGAGTCCTTAAGTGGACATGTGACTTTACACCTGAGCAAGAGACTCCGATAGTTCCCGTATGGGTATCGTTCCCTCTGCTTCCAGTACATTTACGTACGAAGGGGTTCCTTTTCGCCTTATCTGGGCAATAGGAATGCCCTTGAGAATTGATGAGGCCACCACCGACTTGAGACGACCTAGTGAGGCAAGGGAGTGCATTGAGGTGAATTTGGGGCATAAGTTGCCCGACAGGGTTTGGATTGAGCGTGCTGGTAACCGTGGCTTCTGGCAGACAGTTATCTATGAGAAGCGGCCAATTTTTTGCTTCTCTTGTAAACACTTGGGTCATTCTTATGATCAGTGTACTACGGTTCCTCCTCCTCCTCCTGCAGTTGTTGTGCACCCCCCTGATCGGCCCCCTATTACTAGGACTGATAAGGATAAGGGCAAGGTGACGTTTGTGGAGCCAAAGAAGCAGTGGGTTCCAGTTTCAGCAGTGCCTTCTGTGCTTCCCACTACTACTACCGTAGTTGTGACTGAGTCAGAATCTGCATCGGCAGTTCCTACCTCTACTCGTATCACAGTTGATCCAGAGGTACCTCCGTATATTCATTCAGTTGCTGAGCCTACTCCAAATGCTCCTATCGAGGTACCCACTTCTCCTGTTATTACTTCCATAGCTCCTATTCCCACAGCTACTACTGATTTGCCCCCTGAGCCGACACATATGAGTTCTCCACCATTAAAGACACACAGATAGTACTCAATTAGCGCAGGGATCAGGTACCGGGACAGTTCCTCAAACCACTCTTGCACAGGGGTTGTTGGCTGAGATCAGCTCAGAGCGACATGGTGTCAAGCATATGCTGATTGATCACTTTAAGAAGGACCATGGAATGAAAGTTGGATCTACCATGAGATTTGCTATTGAGGACTTGGTTTTTAAGCTCTTTGAAGAGGGACCTTCTGTGAGTAAGACTCCTACGTTCACCTAGTCCTTCTATCACAGCTCCTACACACAATAAGGTGAAAGAACATATACAGAGAGACATGGATGGCATGGGCCTTGGAAATTGCATGCAAAATGCAGAGGACGATGTCCCTACAGCAAGCAGGTCAATCTCCTACGATTCAGATGTCGTAGCACAGAATACCATGAGATTAGACACACCTACGACTAGTACAATGAGATCAGATGCACCCGCTTTTCGCCCGACATTCAGTGCACCACTATCTGAACAGTACTTATCAACAAAGCAGGCTCCTACACGCAGGCGAGACCCCTCTCCAACGAGTGAGCCAGACATCGCAGACTACTATGATCCGGAAATGTTTCAAACTAGACGCATGACTCGATCAATGTCTATGTACTACCACCCGAAGATTTACCCTCGGGAATACCCTTGAGTACCTTTCGTTAGTTTTTGTTCGTGTCTTGTTTACTGTGATTGCATTTTATCTTCAAATATTTGTTACAATTTACATTTGCTGGAGGTCAGGTCCATGCCCCCCTCCTCTATTTGTTTTCCTACTTTTCATTATATAAAATAAACCACACTAGTGGTATTTGCTTTAAAAAAAAAACCCTAAACCCTAAACCAAACGACACCAGATCAACAACAAAATCAAAATATTACTGTTTTGGAAGAGATTGGATTGAATTCTAGTAAGAACAATGATGGCACGTTTCCCAATGTCACCAAAACATCATCTTCTGTAGTGATTCAGGATTTGGGACCATCACCAATGATTCCAGAAGGGCCAAAAACCCTAGGGGTGGTGGAGATTGCATCTGAATCGTCCAAAATTGGCAGATCGAATCCCGAGGGGCCGATTTCTTATTTTTCAATTAAACCCTCTATGGAGCTCAAAGACATGCACACGCTAGATCATCTGATTACCCATGAGAAGGAGAACCTTCATCTAAAAAATGGTCCAATTCCGACGTTGGATGCGCCCTCACCGGCGATCGCAAGTTACGGCCAGCCGCTCAGAAAATCGCAGATTCCGGCCAATCCTGAACTCGTTTTGGAAAATGGAACATACCGTGATGATCAGCATGAAATTTTACATCTACCTATGAAAAATCATAATTTTCTGACACCGTTGAAAAATCACCGCCGGTCAACGGCCGGTGCGTGGTGGTCACGCGCCGGTGACACTTCAGCAGAATGTGGGGAATTTTGTTACGGACCCAATTCCATCATCGGATTTACCACGGGAAGTCCCTACAGTAATTAATCAGGCTAGGAAGTCATATGCGGCTACACTTTCCGGTAAATCTGTAGTCTCTCAAGCTGAGCGCAGCCAACGGAAGTCTTTTGCACAGGTTTTGCAAGCCCCACCGGACTCCAATGACCACAGGTTCACCTCTAAGGAACCTTTCATGCATATGGGAGAGCCGGCAGTTGCCTTTATCGAGGAAGAAGAGGACTTTCTTTCTGGACCGTATAAATTTACTCTTGTTGGCAAATTCTCACGTCGCAAGCCCTCCATGATTGAGGTACGTGACAGCTTTCAAAAATTTGGTTTTTGTGGTGATTACATGATTGGACTTATTGATGCGACTCATATTCTAATACACTTGGCACATGAGGATGATTACTCACGCTTATTTCTTAAGCCCTCTTGGTCCATCGATGGTTGTCTCATGCGTGTTTTGAAGTGGACGCCCAGCTTTAATCCTAAGCATGAGACTCCTATTGTCCCTGTTTGGGTTTCATTCCCATTATTGCCCATTCACTTTCGGGCAAAGAGTAGTCTGTTTGCCCTAACTAAGGCCATTGGAATCCCACTACGTATTGATGAGGCCACTTCAGATTTACGACGACCCAGTGAGGCACGGGTATGCATTGAGGTTAATTTGGAGTATAAGCTTCCAGATAGGATTTGGATTCAGCGTGAAAAGTGTGGAGGATATTGGCAAATAGTTGTGTATGAGAAGAAGCCAGATTACTATTTTCGGTGCAGACATTTTGGTCATACTGAGGAGCATTGCCGCCCTACACCACCACCTGCTCTACTATAGAGATGTGCAAGGATAAGGGTAAAGGAAAGGAGGTCGTTATTGAGCCTCCTAAACGATGGATTCCAGTTCAGAGAGATCAGAAGAGGCAACACGATGCTAGCACATCTGGAGTTCAGATTCTGCTTTCTGTGTCCACTGTCATCACATCAGTCCCATTACCTACTAGAACTAGCTCACATGCTCAGACCCAGCCATCTATTCCTCCAGTTGCTCCTCCCTCTGCTACAAGCTTACCAGTTATCAGTGTTGTAGATCCAGTTACATCTACCACTCCTTCAGCTCCTGCTCAGGCTATCAGTCCACCTATCACTCCATTTTATGATCCTATGTTGGATGAGATGTTGAAGAGTCCACAGACACATAATTCTACAGCAGACACAGTCAGCAGAGCTTCTTACATTCCAGGCCCGACACCGGGTAGGGCTCAGGCACCTATTTCCACTTCTTCTCCTCCTATTTGTCATCAAAATGTGGAGGCATCTATTCCATCTTTGCAGTCAGCGCATTCAGATACAGAGGGCTCACCTCATATTGAGGTTCACCAGCAGGGACCTTTTCGAAGATCTTCTTCTGATGACTTGGTGGGTTTGGATAAGAGGACAGAGGATGATGGATTTATCCCAGTTGTTCGAAAGAGACACCCACGGGCTACTGATACTCCACATCTGAGCAGAAGGATCACTCGGAGTCAGTCACATGATACCTCCTCACATTCTCCTTCCCTATGAGTGCCATCATTTGGAATGTGAGAGGTGTAGCTAGTGTAGCTACTCGTCGGTGCCTGAAGAAACTTATACAGCTTCATCAGGTTTATCTTCTAGTTATATTGGAGCCTTTTTTCTGCGGCAGAATTTTGCATATACACGACGCTATTTGCGCTTTGACATGGGAGCTCAGAATGAATCGAATAAGATCTGGTTTTTCTGGAATTCGGGGACTAATGTTACTGTTATTGTTGATCATGCCCAGTTTCTTCACGTTAGAGTTGAGGATCCCAGACTAGCGCTTGCTATCTATTTGACTCCAGTCTATGCGTCATGCGATGCTACTATCAGGAGAGATTTGTGGGCGGGTCTTCACCACATCTCCCTGGATATGGACGATCCTTGGCTAGTTGGAGAAGACTTTAATGTTATTACACATGATGGAGAGCGCACTGGTCATAATACCCGTAATCGTGGCACTACTACTTTCTCTGATATGATGTTAGACTGTGGTTTAGAGGATGCGGGTTTCATTGGAAACCGATATACTTGGACCAATGGTCGGGTCAGAAAGAGATTGGATAGGGTACTTATTAATTCTACAGCTGCAGCTTTTTGTCGACAGCTTACAGTGAGACACTTGAATCAGACTTCATCCCATCACTCTCCATTATTGCTTCAGTGGGTTTCTGATGATGATTTGGGGCCTAGAGCGTTCAGATTCCTCAATGTTTGGACCAAGCACCATGATTTTTTAGCCTTTGTCTCCCAGAAGTGGTCGCTCCCTACTCATCTCACAGGGATGACCACTCTTTGGGAGAAGTTCTTCAGGCTGAAACAGGGTCTGCGCTGGTGGAACCGACATGTATTTGGAGATATTTTCCAGCGGGTACGAGATACTGAGGTCGGGGTTGATGAGGCTGAGATAATATATGATAGAGATCCTACACCAAAGAACCGTAACTTACTACATCAGGCCCAGGCAGTTTTGAACCGGACCTTGTCTATTGAGGAGGGCTTTTGGAAGCAAAAGGCCGGTTCACGTTGGGCATGTGAGGGTGATCACAATACTCGATATTTTCATGCGATGGTTCAGGGGCGTAGGATCAAATCGGGTATCAGGTCTATCAGGACACAGGCGGGGGAAGTGTTATCTACTCCTACTGATATTCAGACCTCGGCCGTTGCTTTCTACCAGGATCTCTTATCTGCTCCTCCACAACCCATGGACCACACCCGTTCTGATGTCATTCCGAGGCTATTGACGGTGGATGATAATTTGGCACTAAATCGCCCCCCTTTGATTCATGAGGTACGGGAGGCAGTTTTCAGTATTGATGCTGACAGTGTCGCTGGCTCGCATGGCTTCTCATCCATATTCTTCCAGCATTGCTAGGATATCATCCAGGAGGATGTTTGCAGGGCGGTATTGGATTTCTTTGATGGTGGTCATCTTCCACGGGGTTTTGCTGTTACTTTTATTATCTTACTACCTAAGAAGGATGGTGCTTGCAGATGGACTGAATTCAGACCAATCAGTTTATGCACAGTGTTCAATAAGATTATTACTAAGCTTTTGAACACTCGGTTTAGTACACTGCTACCGCGCATTATTTCCCCTGCACAGAGTGGTTTCATCCCAGGCCGTCTGATTGGAGATAATGTTTTATTGGCTCAGGAGCTTCTCTACACTTTGGATGATAGAGTACGAGTGGGAAACACTATGCTGAAGTTAGACATGGCTAAAGCATATGATCGCATGGACTGGGGCTTCATTTATTCTGTATTGGAGGCATTTGGATTTGATCAGATCTGGATTGACAGAATCAGGCGGTGCATTTCGAAGTGTCGTTTCTCCGTACTCCTAAATGGCCGCCCATGTGGTTTCTTTCCCTCCTCACGAGGACTGAGACAGGGTGATCCTATCTCCCCATCCTTGTTCATCATTGCAGCAGACTACTTCTCACGCTTGCTCACTCAGAGGTTTCAGGAGTATCCCAGTATGTGTTATCGACGTGGAGGTAGTGCTCTTGTCTCACATCTCTCATTTGCTGACGATATGATCATCTTTGCCAACGGTCAGAAACAGTCTATCAGGAGGGTCTTAGATTGCTTGGAGCACTATGAAGGAGTTTCTGGCCAATTGGTGAATAGAGACAAGAGCGGTATTATACTATCCAGACGGGCATCCACTAGTCAGATCAGACGACTAGAGATTTTGACTGGCTTCATACATCAGCAGCAGCCTTTCACTTACTTAGGTGTCCCCTTATTCAAGGGGACCAAGAGGAGCTTCCTTTATGACGACCTTATCCAGAAGATAAGCGATAGGATATCAGGTTGGGCCTCACGATTACTATCGCCTGGGGGTCGTATTACATTACTGAGGTCAGTACTTTCTTCCGTACCTTTACATCTTCTTCAGATTATGCAGCCGCCCAAGGCAGTGCTGAAGAAACTTGAGAGCATCTTTGCCCGATTCCTATGGGATTCTAAGGATCAAGCACGACGTCTACATTGGAGGAGTTGGAAAGAGATTTGCCTTCCGACTGATGAGGGAGGCCTCGACTTTAGGAGATTATAGGATGTGGTGGACACCTTCTCCATGAAGCTCTGGTGGTTGTTCCGATCTCAGAGGTCACTTTGGGCTCAATTTTTACTGGGCAAGTATTGTAAGGGGACGCATCCTTTACTTGCAGCAGTTTCTAGTTTAGCCTCCCCTACGTGGAAGAGGCTGAAATCAGTTGGGCCACGGATGGATCCACACATTGCTTGGCACCTTGGAGCCGGTCAGATTTTCTTCTGGCATGATTGTTGGATGGGCGAGTCCACGTTGGCATCCCTATTCCCCCATAGACAGCACACATCTGCGAGGGTACAGGATTTTTTTAATGACACTGGGTGGGATTTTGGACTGTTATTACAGGCCCTTCCTTCTCACATGGCGAAACAGATAGGGGCGATACCTTTATGTGCAGATGCCCCGGACTGAATTATTTGGAAAATTACTTCGGATGGTGACTTTACCACCAAATCTGCATGGCAACTAGTCCATTCGGTTCGCCAGCCTCAGGACCCATATCGACTGCTGTGGAGCTCTATTTTGCCTGCCACTACTTCATTCTTCTGCTGAAGACTATGGCAGGATCTCATTCCAGTAGATGTTGTTATTCAGAGGAGAATTAGATGTCAGTTGGCTTCTCGTTGTCAGTGTTGTTCCGAGATTGAGACCATCAATCGTATTTTCACGAGCAGCAGCATCTCCGACCAGGTATGGCAGCACTTTGGAGACATCTTTCAGATACCTATGACTTCAGGGGAGGGGGTCAGACAGAGGTTCCAGAGATGGCGGTATTCTGGACATCACTTTTACCGTGAGCACATTCGTATTATCATTCCTCTACTGATATTTTGGTTTCTATGGACTGAGAGGAATGATGCGAAGCATAGAGGTATTCGTACGGTGGGTAGACGTATTATTTGGAGGGTCTACCGCATGATCTCCTTTCTTCATATGGGAGGACTATTCCGAATTGAGAATTGGCGAGGAGATGTGACACTTGCACCCTTTTTTTGGCATTTCTTTTACCCTCCTCTCCCACTACCACCTATTATGGTTGTTTGGCGCACTCCACCAGTTGGATCCTACAAGATCAACACTGATGGATGCGTCAAAGATGGATTTGTAAGTGGTGGATGCATCATTAGGGACCACGCAGGATACTGTATCAGGGCATTCTCAGCATCGTATGGCCCATGTTTCATTTTGGAGGCTGAGCTCAGAGCCATACTAGATGGGCTTCTATTGGCCAGAGGACTTGGGATTTCAGCTATCTGGCTTGAGGCAGATTCAACATTGGCTATTCACTTGGCACATGAGGATGATTACTCACGCCTATTTCTCAAGCCCTCTTGGTACATCGATGGCTGTCTCATGCGTTTTTTTAAGTGGACGCCCAACTTTAATCCTAGGCATGAGACTCCTATTGTCCCTGTTTGGATTTCATTCCCATTATTGACCATTCACTTTTGGGCAAAGAGTAGTTTGTTTGCCCTAGCTAAGGCTATTGGACTCCCATTACGTATTGATGAGGCCACTTCAGATTTACGACGACCCAGTGAGGCACGGGTATGCATTGAGGTTAATTTGGAGTATAAGCTTCCAGATAGGATTTGGATTCAGCGAGAAAAGTGTGGAGGATATTGGCAAACAGTTGTGTATGAGAAGAAGCCAGATTACTGTTTTCGGTGCAGACATTTTGGTCATACTGAGGAGCATTGCCGCCCTGCACCACCACCTGCTCTAGTTGTTGACCCTGTTCTTAAGCCTACTATAGAGATGGCCAAGGATAAGGGTAAAGGAAAGGAGGTCCTTATTGAGCCTCCTAAGCGATGGATTCCAGTTCAGAGAGATCGGAAGAGGTAACACGATGCTAGCACATCTGGAGTTCAGATTCCGCTTTCTGTGTCCACTGTCATCACATCAGTCCCATTACCTACTGGCACTAGCTCACATGCTCAGACCCAGCCATCTGTTCCTCCAGTTGCTCCTCCCTCTGCTACAGCCTTACCAGTTATCAGTGTTGTAGATCCAGTTACATCTACCACTCCTTCAGCTCCTGCTCAGGCTATCAGTCCACCTATCACTCCATTTTATGATCCTATGTTTGATGAGATGTTGAAGAGGCCACAGACACAGAATTCTGCATCAGACACAGTCAGCAGAGCTTCTTACATTCCAGGCCCAACACCGGGTCGGGCTCAGGCACCTATTTCCACTTCTTCTCCTCCTGTTTGTCATCAGAATGTGGAGGCATCTATTCCATCTTTGCAGTCAGCACATTCAGATACAGAGGGCCCACCTCAGATTGAGGTTCACCAGCAGGGACCTTTTCGAAGATCTTCTTCTGATGACTTGGTGGGTTTGGATGAGAGGACAGAGGATGATGGATTTATCCCAGTTGTTCGAAAGAGACACACACGGGCTACTGATACTCCACATCCGAGCAGAAGGATCACTCGGAGTCAGTCACATGATACCTCCTCAAATTCTCCTTCCCTATGAATGCCATCATTTGGAATGTGAGAGGTGTAGCTAATGTAGCTACTCGTCGGCACCTGAAGAAACTTATACAGCTTGATCAGGTTTATCTTCTAGTTATATTGGAGCCTTTTATTCTGCGACAAAATTTTGCATATACACGA